AAAAACCTCTCCAACTCCACCTTAGAACCCCTCAGCCCCTCACCCTGGCCATCCTCGACGAGTAGGGATCCTCGAAGAGCGCCCAGAGCCGAGGTCGCCACCGCCGCCACCAGCTCGCCGGCCGGCCCTCCTCCAGGCACAGCCGCTTGGGCTCGGCGGGCTCGGGCGGGCCGGGCCCCTCGGGGCTCTCGAAGCTGTCCAGGGCCTCCTCGGCATCGCGGTGCTGCCGGTAATTCATCCAGCAGCACGCCTCCACGTCCGTCTCGTCGATGCCCCAGAAGGCGAGCTCCTCCTCGAACAGCGGCCCGCACACATCGGCCGGGCAGTGCAGCTTGCCGGTGCGGTAATAGTTGAGCACATAAGCGAACACGGCCGGGTGCCGGTCGAAGAAGAACTCGCCGGCTCCGGCGTCGTAGTCGAAGCGGGCGGCGGCGCCCGGTTCGGCCAGCCCGGCCAGGCGGGTGCCGGGCAGCGTCTGCAGGGTGCTGCGGTAGGTCTCATGGCGGACGCCGCCGACGTTGATCACCACTTTGTCGCGCTCGGCTTGCCAGCCCATGGCGACAGGCGCGACAGGAGGAGGGGGCGAGAGTCGCGATAGGAGGAGGAGGGGGCGAGGGGAGGGAGAGGGGACGGCGGGTGCCGCATCCCGGCGCGGCGGGGAGGGAGCGCAGGGCGCATGCGCGGCGGGGACGCGCCCACACTGAGGGGAGGCCACGCCCACCGTGATGGGAGGCCACGCCTATCGTGAGGGGAGGCCACGCCCACACTGAGGGGAGGCCACGCCTATCGTGAGGGGAGGCCACGCCCACACTGAGGGGAGGCTACGCCTACTGTGAGGGGAGACCACGCCCTCCGAGGGGAAAAACCCGGCCTTTATTGAAACCACGCCTATCGTGAGGGGAGGCCACGCCCACCGCGTGGGGGAAAAAGCCCGCCTTTATGGAAGCCACGCCCACCGTGAGGGGAGACCAGGCCTACCGTGAGGGGAGACCACTCCCACAATGAAGAAAAAAAGCCCGTCTTTATTGAAACCACGCCTACCGTGAGGGGAGACCACACCTATCGTGAGGGGGAAAGCCCGCCTTCATTGAAACCACGCCTATCTTGAGGGGAGGCCAGGCTTGCAACGAAGAAAAAAGCCCGTCTTTATTGAAACCAAGCCTACCTGAGGGGAGGCCGCGCCTATCGTGAGGGGAAGAGCCCGCCTTTGTGGAAACCACGCCTTTCGTGAGGGGAGGCCACGCCCACACTGAGGTAAAAAGCCCGCCCTAATGGAAACCACGCCTGCCGTGAGATGAAGCCACGCCTACACCACTGAAGCCACGCCCTCGTGCAGGGAAGCCCCGCCCTCCTTCAGGCCCCGCCCGTAAATGGGGGGGGGGATTGGGGGTCACTGGGAGGTACTGGGAGCACTGGGAGGAATGAGGGGGTGCACTGGGAGCACAAATCAGGAGTGGTGGGGGCTACTGGGATGTACTGGGAGCACTGGGATGCAGTTGTGGGCCAAGTCAAAGGAGGATGGGGGCTTCTGGGAGAATCTGTGGGGTTACTGGGACGAACTGGGAGCACTGGGAGTGTCACTGTGGCTTGGGGTCCCCCCCCTCCAGAAATCAGGCAGGACCAAGAGCCCCCAAACCAGCAGCTTTATTTTTGGGAGCCCCCCAAAAGGGGACCCCGACATCCAGGGGGGGTCACCCGGGCCCCCCCCCCCCAAGTGTCCGGAGTGTCCCTCGGTGCCCAGGTGAGCCCCAGGTGAGGGCGGCACTTGGGGACCCAGATGTCCCCGGGGGGTGACAGAGCCATGCCGGGAGTGGCGGCCACCCCGGATTTTGGGTGGTCCCAGCCGGGGGTCCCCGGGGGTGTCCCCACGGTGTCCCCGGGGGTGTCACTTGCTGGGTGCCAGCCCCACCCGGTCGTGGTCACGGTCGAAGACGGCGTAGAACTGGGCGAGGAAAACGTCCCCAAGGATCCAGAGGGGACCCGAGGGCGGGGGGACATCCAGGGCCATGAAGCCACTGACACACACCGGGGACCCCCACTGGGACACCTGGGGGGACA